TATGTATGTATGTATGTATGTATGTATGTATGTATGTATGTATGTATGTATGTATGTATGTATGTATGTATGTATGTATGTATGTATGTATGTATGTATGTATGTATGTATGTATGTATGTATGTATGTATGTATGTATGTATGTATGTATGTATGTATGTATGTATGTATGTATGTATGTATGTATGTATGTATGTATGTATGTATGTATGTATGTATGTATGTATGTATGTATGTATGTATGTATGTATGTATGTATGTATGTATGTATGTATGTATGTATGTATGTATGTATGTATGTATGTATGTATGTATGTATGTATGTATGTATGTATGTATGTATGTATGTATGTATGTATGTATGTATGTATGTATGTATGTATGTATGTATGTATGTATGTATGTATGTATGTATGTATGTATGTATGTATGTATGTATGTATGTATGTATGTATGTATGTATGTATGTATGTATGTATGTATGTATGTATGTATGTATGTATGTATGTATGTATGTATGTATGTATGTATGTATGTATGTATGTATGTATGTATGTATGTATGTATGTATGTATGTATGTATGTATGTATGTATGTATGTATGTATGTATGTATGTATGTATGTATGTATGTATGTATGTATGTATGTATGTATGTATGTATGTATGTATGTATGTATGTATGTATGTATGTATGTATGTATGTATGTATGTATGTATGTATGTATGTATGTATGTATGTATGTATGTATGTATGTATGTATGTATGTATGTATGTATGTATGTATGTATGTATGTATGTATGTATGTATGTATGTATGTATGTATGTATGTATGTATGTATGTATGTATGTATGTATGTATGTATGTATGTATGTATGTATGTATGTATGTATGTATGTATGTATGTATGTATGTATGTATGTATGTATGTATGTATGTATGTATGTATGTATGTATGTATGTATGTATGTATGTATGTATGTATGTATGTATGTATGTATGTATGTATGTATGTATGTATGTATGTATGTATGTATGTATGTATGTATGTATGTATGTATGTATGTATGTATGTATGTATGTATGTATGTATGTATGTATGTATGTATGTATGTATGTATGTATGTATGTATGTATGTATGTATGTATGTATGTATGTATGTATGTATGTATGTATGTATGTATGTATGTATGTATGTATGTATGTATGTATGTATGTATGTATGTATGTATGTATGTATGTATGTATGTATGTATGTATGTATGTATGTATGTATGTATGTATGTATGTATGTATGTATGTATGTATGTATGTATGTATGTATGTATGTATGTATGTATGTATGTATGTATGTATGTATGTATGTATGTATGTATGTATGTATGTATGTATGTATGTATGTATGTATGTATGTATGTATGTATGTATGTATGTATGTATGTATGTATGTATGTATGTATGTATGTATGTATGTATGTATGTATGTATGTATGTATGTATGTATGTATGTATGTATGTATGTATGTATGTATGTATGTATGTATGTATGTATGTATGTATGTATGTATGTATGTATGTATTGTTTTAGTTATTTCATTTTAGTTATTTCATTTTAGTTACAGCAAAGAGTAAATTCCCGAATTTCATATTCTAGTCTTGTAGATAACCTAGCACCATTAGTGGTTGACATATAAGTTAGACATGTTTTTTATTAGACTGTTTTCAATTAATAGAAAATTTCATTTCAATTCAGATCAGAAATAAATAGAATTAATCAAATCAGACTAGAAAATTTCATTTCAATTAAAAGCATCCTTACTAGTGATGGACCCGGGCCGGTCTGGTTCCGGGCCGGGCCCAGACGGGCTTTTTTTGCAATTACTTGGGCCCGGAACCGGCTGGGTTGATACCGGGTCCGGGCCTAACCGGGCCGGGCCGGGTCCGGTTCCATGTTTAATTTTTTTTGCCTTTCTTGTTATCCCCCTCACCCCTACCCCCCAAACCTCCCCAAAACACTCAGCCCTACTCTAGGAAAAGAAAAAAATTGAAAAAAAAAATTGAATCGGGCCCGGCCCGAACTGCCCGGGCCGGTTCAACAAAAGTTGGGCCCGAGCCTGGCTCGCTCGGAACCGGCCAATCGGTCTCGGTCCGGTCCGGTACCGCACAGTAGCGGGCCGGTCCGGTTCCGGGCCGGGCCGGTTTAGTCCATCCCTAATCCTTACTCACGCATTGCTCGCAATCTCAAACAAAAGTATGGAAACTTGTGATGCTTGGTTGCCCTCTGACCCAATACGGTGAGATGAAACATTTAAACAAAGAGAATTAACTCAAATTATTCACACTATAAAATATAAAATTTTAAAGTACTTTGTTCCATATTAGTTTTCTCATTCATTACGCTGCAGTGAATCTATTTTCGTTTTTAATTTAGAATTTTAAATACCAAATTTTGTCCTATTCAGATTGAGCTTCTTGCAGGTCAATAGGACACTTTAGTGTAGTTCTTAATATGTACGCCGTAAAATTTAACTCCGTCAAACCTTGTAGGCTATGTTGGGCATTTTGAGTTAAACCTGGGGACTCATGTATGATGTAGGAGCTATTCTCTGAATTAGAAGCTCTGTTGCAATTTGAAATCTAAAGTGGTGAATTTGAGCTATTAGGATGTTTTTACTTGGATTGTAATTCGTCCCAGACCAGTTCAGACCAGACCAGACCAGATTTGGATAGTTATAAAAATACAAAGAAACCAGACCAGAACTAGGGATGGATTCGGTTCGGGCCACCCGGCCCGTGACCCGGCCCGGTACTATGCGGGCCCGGGACCGGACCGGTCGGGCGGTCCGGGACCGGGTATGGACCCGAACCGATGGGAAGGGGCGGGGGCGGGCTCGGTTCTGGATTTTTGTGACCCGGCCCGGCCGGGTCGGGCTCGGGCCCGGGTCCGGGTCTATTTAAAAAAAAAAAATTTTTTTTTTTGTTTTTTGGCTACTAGCCGTTGAGGCCTTGGGGGTGGGGCTGGGGACAACCCAAACGGCTATATAGCCGTTGGGTGGGGTAAAGGGGGGGGGGGGTCCGGGGGGGTTGGCTGGTAGGGTGGGGGGTAAAAAAACCTATAAATACTCCTACTCTTAAACATTTTTTCATATCTCTTCTCCAATTCTTCCTAAATCCTATTCTTAACTCTCTACTCTCTAATTCTCTTATTCTCCAATATATTATATATCTACTCTCTAATTCTCTTCTCCAAGAAGCTAAGATGGAAAATCAAAATGCCATTATACGGTATAATTTTGATAAGCAGAAGGACCCGAAGACCGGGATGTGGTACGCAATTTGCAAATGGTGCGAAAAAAAATGTATCATGGGGGCTTCAGGCGGATTCGGGATGGCAATCAAGCATATGAAGTCATGTGACAAAGCCAAAGGATCGGGAGGTGTGGGAAGTTCCGATTGATTACAATTTTCATAATGTTTCTCTCTTAAAGTTTGTTTTAATTTTCAAATGTAGTTCCTATTTCATTTCAAATAAATGCAATTGAAGTTTGTTTTTAATACTCGTATAAAACTATAAACTATAAAATATAAATTATAAAAAAAAAAAATAACCGGCCCGGCCCGAACCAGACCCGACCCGTGACCCGGGCGGGTGGCCCGGCCCGAACCGGACCCGTCCAACCCTCGGGCCGGTCCCGGGCCCACTTTTCTTGAACCGGCGGCCTAGGCCCGGTCCGAATCCATCCCTAACCAGAACAGATCAGACCAGACCAGACTAACAAATTACAGTCCTAGTAAAAACATCCTTAATCAAATGAAATATTATTTTAGTAAAAACAGGTGAAAAAGACCCTTGGAAAAATATAATTCCTGGTCATAAACATAACCACTTCGGTACACATATCTACATAGGGGTGGAAATAGGCCAAGTGGGCATGTGGCCTGTCCTGTTTAAGGCCTAAGCCTGGCCTATTTAATAATGAAACTAGGCTTGGACTCTTCAAAAAGCCCGTTTACCTAAATAGGCCAGACCAAAGCCAACTCTGAAGCCTTTTTAGCTTAACAGGCCGGCTTATTTATATGTGTATATATGTATCAATATATATATATATATATATATATATATATATATATATATATATATATATATATATATATATATATATATATATATATATATATATATATTTAGTTATATTTAATACATAGTATTTATTTGTATTATTTACATTTATATTTATATTGGTATACTTAACTATAGCAAATTAGGCATAATAGTATTTTTGTTGAGTGTGTATTATAAATTAGAATAGATTATTATTTTAAATATATACTATCGTATAAAGGTTGTGAATAGTTTATTAGGGTAATTGAAATTCAAAGTTTTTCAAGATTTGAAGTATATATAAATTTATAAACTACATAACAAACGTATTATTAGACATCCAAAGCAAAACTAACGTACTATTAGATTTTTTTAGTGAATATCTAGGGGGACAAATTTTATATCGGGTTAAAAGGATTTTTCACTTTTTATTTTTAATTTTTTTTAGAAATTTTGATTTTTTTCTTAACAGATCCCGTAAACAGGCTTCAGGTCAGGCCAGACTTTTAAACAGGCCAGGCTCAGGCCGGAAAAACAAGCCTTTAATAGGTACAACCTGTTTAGGCAAAAGACTGGCTTGGCCTGCCTGTTTCCACCCCTAATCAATCTACGTATTTTGGTTGGATTGAAACAGAATCTTAAAAGGATTGTATTTCAATCGTGAGGCTACACTCGTGAATTACATAATTGCAGGCCATCTAGCATACAATGGAATGCAGAAACCTCAGTTCTACGTTGGATAGAAAAGAATAACATTATATATAGATCCTCCCCTGCAAACTACTATGTTAGAGAAAAGTATTTAACTTAGAGTTATAAGCGCTATTGTGTACTTAAACTACATGTTTAAGAGGTTTATTAACCAAAAGAAATAAATTTGGACACAATAAAAATATTCAGACAATTTTACTCATTAATATCAGTCATAGCATATTACATGGGATAGAGTTGTATTTTTTTTTTTTTTTTTACTTTGTGCTATTACACCTTTGACATTGGATTTCAAACTATTGGCTTGTATCACTCATTTTTGGTTTACATTATTGATTTCTAGTATTTATTCTTTCACATGCACTACCCTTGTTTAGATAGTATAATAGTATCACAACTTCCGGTTCTACGCATTGTTGCAACTCCACTTTATTGTCTGCTGAACATAACTTCCAACAACGGCAGACTGTTTCTTGTCACCTAGCACTTTTGAGTAGAGATTATAATAAGCTGCTGCATTGATATTTGTCAAAACTCTCACTTCTTTCCCCTCTTTCTCATCAATATTCATCGTTCCATCTTCGGATTCTTTACCCGTTGCAACTACTTTGATTTTCTTGATTCCAAACGTTGGGTTCAAGGTAGAAATATCACCTGCAACCAGCACTGACCCTATGTTCTCGCCAAAAAACGTTTCCTGCAAAGTAAAAATCACAAGGAATAATGATATGTGACTACTAGCTAGACTTCGATGGGAACTTTACTGTTAATGAATGATCGTTTGGTCGGGTTGTTTAATTCTTATATGATATGATCAGGTCTGATCTTATTATAAGTCTAAGAGCTGAGGGTTCTCGATTAAAACGTAGTATACCAAATTATAATTGGGTGCATAGAGACGTTTACCATTGATTGCTTAATTAGTTTCAACAAGCGGAGCCTTGATAGCAGACGCGTAGCAAACTTTGCTTCAGGTGTTGCCTTAAGAGTGAGATTTTTTCTGATTCCCACCAACGAACTTACTTGGCGTTGTGCAGCAAGCGGAATGAGAGTGATATTGAGGTTTGAAGTAAACACTGTTTTCGCAGCCAAAGGATCGAAATACATGTTTTGTTCTGCAAATCTATTACTAGGCAGATTAACCACATTTCCTCTGTCAGAGCTACCGTTGCTCAAGTGGCCTCCGACAATCACAACTTCCTACTCACAAGAAATTGAAGCATTTGTCTTACACCGGATTGGTATAAATGAATAAAAACCACATGCATGTATGTTCAAATAATTCAGAAACACACAAAAACCATGGTGGATCAGAATAGATTCATGCAATAACCAACAACTTGCCTGGATAACAGATGAAACATTCGGATTTGCAAGAACAATATTTGCTATGTTAGTTAGTGGACCATTAGTCAAGATGGTGATCTTGGATCCTGGGTCTAGGGATTTTACTACTGAATCCCATACTTCTAATGCCAAAGGTTGTCGGAGCTCAGGGTGATCTGTATCACGCAGACCTCCAAATGCCTTAGAAGCTTCAGATGTATATCTGTATGTAAATGAGAGATAAGGAGTGAATGCATTGATTATCATCTGACATACATACATACATATATGTACTAGGAAAAAAATATTGAGACTTAGCTCACTCCATCCCTCTGTAGCTAGAAATAATATTCATATTTCACAATAGAAAAATATGAATCGGCGAGACTTACCCTCGGGGACTACGTGGGAGATCACGAGCTAGTCCATAAAGAGTATCAGAATCAATAAATCCACCATAACCGTGTGGGATACCCTTTTGATACTTGCAGTCTCCACCAACGCCAGGAAAATCTGAATAAGACATGTTCAGTGAAAGTAGATCCCCAAGGGCGACAGGAATGTCATCACGGCCCATCATGTGTAGCACATCATAAACCACATCAATCGTTCCTGCATTTGCCCAACCATTTGGGCTCACGATAATTGCCTGTAATATATCAGTGTCACAAAGGCATGTTAATATAACTTGGCTTAGCATGTAGCTTCCATACAAATGGTATGTGTTAATGACATTTCTATGAATGCAAGCCGCTAGGACAAAACTCAACTCGTGTTCGGTCGAACTCGAACTAGAGCAAAACTCGAGCCGATTCGTTAGGCAATTGAGCGAGCTCGAGCTCAATTCCTCCTAGCTCACCGCTCACGAGCCATAACATATATATAATTAATTAAATAAATATATATGTACACACATACATGTTAATGATAAAAAAACACTGAAGTTGAGTTCGAGCCGAGCCGAGCCCGAGCCTCAACCAAGCTCGAGCTCAATTTATTAGGCTTGTGTTAGCTAAAGCTCGATCTAGTGGGAATCATTTACCTTGAAGCTTTATTTGGATGGAATGAATAAGTAAATCTAATAAACTTAAGTGAAAATATGGTTAGTAAAAATTGGTTTAGCCAAATCGAATAAAGGTACATATGCACAAACTTTACTGGTATAGTTACTACATTAACACACTTGAATGCACTAAAAGGTCAGTTGGGGGAATAAGTTACGAGATTAAGGGAGTTTGCATTTTCATCTTTTGGTTTTGAATGGGTGGTTAAACTAATTTTCACTTTTTCTATTACACAAAAACACTATTTTTTATAAAAATATATCAACTTTTACTTTTTCAACATCAATTTTTTCAAGTACTACCCACTTTCACTTTCAAGCGTTCTCCCTAAAATCACTTCAAAAAAACACATTATTAAAGTTAAAGTAATCGCAAACACCCCCTAAATGAATAAATTTCACTAAAATTGCCATTAAATCATTATCCTCTATGTTCTACCAATTATTTTCATCTCAATTCTATTAATAAAAGATTTGGGAAATAAAGATGTAGAAGCTGGAGACCAATTTATTTATACCTTCAGATTGATATCAGTCACAGGAAGTTTAAGAAGATAAAAGAGCGCCAAGAAATCTCCAGCACTCATGTCCATGTCAAACACAACATTTTTCCCGAGTCGAGTCCCAGAAAAATCTGGCTTGTAAAGTGTTTCGTTATAACAAGGAAATTCCGTTGTTGCATTGAACCTACCAGTTTGTTGGGGGCGGTTTAACACCTGCGCCATGGGTATCACAAGTTTTTTATGGACAAAAGATATTGCTATATATGTATATATGTAGGGATGGCAAAGGGGGAAGGAGTAGTAAAAACAAAAATATAAGTAAGCATATTATCATCATTTATGTCGTTCCAAATTTCTCATCAATTATAATTCAATTAATTCTATACGAAGTATATCACACACACACACACACACATATATATGCATGTGTTCTATTTATTCACTTTCTCACTTTTAAAACTCATACACCATTTCTGATAAATAGTCCTAGTAATTATTTATTATTATCATTATTATATAAGATGTGTTAATTCGTTAGATATGACTAATACACAAACATGTATGTATGTCTATATGTATGTGTTTGGTATATACTGCATATAATTTCATTAAATATCTTTACACAAGATTTATATATATATATATATGTTTGACTATATATTTAAAACGGGAATGAGGCGGGTGTAGCAATTCCTGTCCTCTACCCCATATTTTAGCGGGTATAAATATCTCACCCATCACAACCCCCGCCCGCTTCATTCTCCCCCCACGGGGTGGTTCCCCATGGGTCCCCACCCCCATTGCCATCGTTGTGTGTGTGTGTGTGTGTGTAAGAGAGAGACAAACTTACATCTATAAAGTTGGCATAGAATGCTTTGTCTAATGGACTCGTAACATTAGGGTTGGGTTTTGCTTTTACTGCCACACGAACAGACACACCTTCAGAACTGCCAACGACTTGTGGAGTATATCCATCCTGATCAACAAAAATTATTGCACCAATATAGAATTGCAAATATACTTTAATGACCGAATACAGATTTTTATATATATATATTGATTAATACTTTGCATTTTCCAGTGCTATTGTTGACAAGACAATAGGGATCACGAGCACTCTTCTGGACATGGCCTCCATGGAGCTTTGAGTCCAGATTGAATTTTGGGGTATTGCGACCATCAAAAAATGGATTAGAACCATCCGACACACTATGATTTTCGTCTGAGGTGGTTACTACGGTGATATTCATGTACTTCATTTCTGCAAACTCGTTATCACCATCATGATTATTTGGCTTGCTCATAATTGAAGTCGCCACACCACACATAAAAAAGTCCCACATGTAGTATGTCTGCATTACATTACATTACATAACGTGATGACATCAAATCTTATTGCATTTATTGTACAAATATTTGTAATTTACCTACATTAGTTAAGTATAATGACTACTGATGTATAACATCATGAACTACCGGTGATATGAATTTTGGTTTTAGCATAAACTTCTAAATCTTAATTTGGTATCAAAGTTATATTTGGTTGTGGTGTAATTGTTTGGAGCACATTGTTTGGGATACCCCCTTCGTGGTCGATTTTATTGGCCCATATATACTCTTGAAGCTGTTCAGCTTTTTTTGGGCACATGCCTCCATGGGTTAAATATGCAATAATAAATTAACATATAAGGTCATAAATTACTCCGATTTATGTACACACATTCAGAGCATCAATCTTACTTTGTAGAATGTTTCATCATCGGCAAACACACTGTCACGAGTTATTTTGAAGGTCTTGTAAAAGTATTGTGCTTCATATGTTTGTTGATTACTCTCCATGTGGGAAAAAAACTCAGCTGATATGGGAATGGTGTTTGCAGCATCTAATGTCACGAGAGTTACTGGAATTCCAGAATGAATAACCTATATAAAAGTTGTAAAGAATAGAAAACTATATAATTTCCCACATGCACATAGTAAATAATGAACAAATGTTACACTTGTCACGTGTTGAGGAAAAATATAAATCATTATTTTTATAGAGAAAATGACACCGGAAGATCACCTGATATGCAGCAAAAGGATCCATAAACACATTGAACTCCGCGTAAGGATTACTATTGAAACTAGTGAATAAATTACCGCCAACATTAATGCTTCCAGACAAGGAATATATGTGTTCGATATTCTCTTTCAGTTGGGGGTTTGTCATAAGGAATATGGCCATGTTTGTATGAGATCCGGTGAGTAGTACAGTTGTAGGGCCAGCAGAAATAGTATTTATAAATACTTGTTGAGCTGTGGGTTGCAGAAACGGAAAATATCTTCTTCTTCCCTGCATTTAACATTCCAACTTACCCAAGCATTAGTATTTGTGTGTGTAGGGGAAGGTTTTGGTGTAAAGAAGTCTTCTCGTAAAAAATAAGAATAAATATAAACCATCAATTACAAAAAAGACGGACTTGAACATTTTAACGTAAAAAATGCGGTGACATAATCATCAATAAATACAACTAGAATGTATAAAGTTTAGTGAAAATAGTGAATCATGTTGTAATGTAAGTGCATTTCGTGTGTGTATAAAACCATTATCCCTTCATTTTTATCTATTCATATTTATTTTACCTATTGATGCACTTTCATTTAAATCAATGCACCGTTAATATGATGGATGATGCAATTTTGTTTTTGCATTTACATTAAAAATCACATTTACTGTTACACCACCATGTTTTGATTTTAAAATTGATATGATCCTTTCACTACGTCAAACCAATAGGTAATATTGATTCTTTTTTCAGTAAGGAAGTAATTTTTATTTGAATCAAGTTCTATATTCTATTGTGTGTGTGTTTATGTAAACGAAAAAATGATATATGCATGCACAAAAAAGTTATATGACATATCACCATGTATGTGTTGACTGTACTTATTACCTGAGGGAGGAAGCTCTTCCGTAGGCCAAGATTTGTGTCAACATCTAAATGTCCATCGCGACCGAGCCCGATTGCTTGTCTATATCTACAATATCCAGCCGTATCATTTCCCTAAATAGATCAAAAAATCTACAACGATTATGCTTCATCAAACCTAATTTAAGGTTTTCACAGATTATCGATCCTATTAGTTTCAAGCTTTTTAATCTCTAGTGGTGTATAACAAGCATTAATTATTTCCCAAATGTGGGTTTTGTGTTCCATTGAACTTTCTAACCAAGTTAGTGAATATGCAGATTTTAATTATTAACACTAATATATACAAATTTCTTATTAAAGAAGAATTAAATTAATCGTGTGTCAACAATCGTAAAGTGCATAGCGAATCATGAAATAGAAAGAAAGAAGTATTAATCCTTAGCTTTATTTTTCAACTACTAATTGCCTCTTTCACGTCTTTGGCTCAAATTTTAAAAAACGAGTAAAGATCTAAAGAGTTTATCGATTTCACCACAATTTTGAAACTTGAATCCTATTCCCATGAAGTGTATGGCTGATTAGCTTTATGTGTAATTTTTTCTGGAAAGTCATAGTAAAAGATGTCTACAAATTGACAATTTGCTTGTTTTCTAATTTTGACTAGAAATGATCCATTTTGGAGATCTTCTAGATATTAGTAATGTGTTCCCATTTTCTAATTTTAGAAAACCATAATGCAAAACATGCATTTTAGTTTTTTGGATTTTCAATTTTCGAGTTTTACAAAACTTGGGAATTTTCCAATTTAAAAACAACACATTTAAAACTTGCACATACGGTTAATTGAAGAGAACATACAAGAAAATTCTTATTTTTAAATAGTCAATTAGTAAACAGTTAGTTGATTGATCACTTCTAACCAATTATATTCGGAATTTTCCCATACGGCTTAGTTGGACAAGTTTTACCCCGAAAATAAGTCATATTTTAAAAATAAAATATAAGTTGCTAATTAGTAGTTATATTTGTGAACTATGGAGTAACTTCGTTTAAATTTAGTGGAAGAAGAAAATTATTTGATGGTAAATATGTAGTTGAGTAAATAAATCACTAAATAAATAATAATTTTGATTTATACAAATTACTCTTTTACCAGTGGGGCTACTTGTTTAGTCCATGTCAAAGAATGACCACATAACTAATTTGAGAAATGATAAACGCTTTCATGTAACATTCCAGATATTTATCCCACAATATTTCTTATTAACATGATATCCGATATAAAGTAATAATTTCGAGATAGACATAACAAATGTGTTTATAGTAAAAACAAAATCCAAACAATTCTCTATTCTTTACGCCATATCAAATTGAACAAGACTAGGGTGTGTGGGAGTCATGTTAAACATATAATGTTGCATATAAAATTTGCAAATATAGAGTACATACTTGATCAATTATAGGAAGATATCCTCCAACGTCATCTTGAATTGTACCATCATCAAGTATCCCACCATCACCTCCCGCACCAACAGGAATATCATCGCGGTCCATCATATATAGAATATCATATATTTGATTCACAGAATGACCAGGATTGCCAAACCCGTTGGAGCTAACAGTTATTCCCTGCATGCAATGATGCGTTTTTAAAATCACATTTTTTCAACTAAGATTATGTTATTAGAACATAAAAGTATAGCACAACGAAGTGAGAATGTGTTTCACTCGTTCGCACCTTAACCATTTTTTATTTGAACGGATGTACCCAACCTCACACACACACATATATGTTGCGGTTCTAGTAAGAAGAAGCCTATATGTGAGAAATAAGAATGATTCTAGGCTTTTGGTTTCAACGATGTTGGAGTAAAAAAAATCATGTTGCACTAAAAGATACAACCATGTGCGATGCCTTTTTTATAAATATTTCTCAGAATCCCCGTTTTGCTCTCTTTTGGACGCACCACTTCCCTTTTTACGTTTGCATGAACATACAACTTTGATTATTAATATATTTAATTCTCTACTAGTAAAAAATGTAAATAAAAATAGATTTTGGAAATTTACGAAGAGACAAATTTAACAATATTTTTTAAAAAAATATTTTTTAAGACTAGTAAATAAATTGTAGTTAAAGTAAAACACATGAACAATGTAATATTCAATATGTTGCACTTATTTAAGAATGAAGGAAGTGTATGAATGATGGAAGAAGGGAGGAGCTTCAGCGGGTAGTGGCTCGACAACTTCACCGATTTTGCCTTCACGGCCTTCGTAAGGGTCGGGCGATAGTAAAACACACACACACGCACGCACACACACACACACACATTTACAATCAAATGAGAACCATGCTTAAGGTGAGAACCGTGAGAATACCACTTTTAACTCGATCTGATACACTATAGCGCTTGCGTATTACACTACTTCTAATTGACGAAATGTTTATGAATTTGCCACCATATTTATTTGATTTGCTATGTTTTGAAAAAGTGTAACATACAAGTGATATAGTGTATCACATTGAGTTAAAAGTGGTGCTTTCGTGATTATCACGTTAAGCATGGTTCTCATTAGAAGCACACAATATATATACACACACAGACACACACACCATCTCATCAACTATATATCTCTTTTTCTTTCTATCTTCTTAACTATTAGCAACGTTATCCGTCTCATCATTATTTGTTTTTCTTTTATATAGTAAAAATTGGTTCATATTTTATTCAAAAATTAGTTCAGAATAACATCCACATCATTTGTCTTTCTTTAATTTTTTGCTAATTTCTCATATCCCAATCATAATACAACAAATTACAAAATTAAAATAGCATTGATAAAGTGGTATATCTTATATATTTTCTGTTCCATTACCTAATATTTAATAGAAGTGCCCTCATGACTATTGTAAACTGTACTTCGAGTTTGAGTTATTTTATCTACATAAGACAAAATTTTGCCATCTTTCACTTTTCAAGTCAATAGTAAACTTTGAATAATGATTTTGATTAATATAATCTTAATTATGAAAGTTCTAAATTATGAAAGTATGTTTATATCACTTTTATATTATAAATAATTTTCTACAAAAGTATATTATTGGTCAAAATTTAACTTGATTAATAAAAATATATAAAGTTTTCAAAGTTGTAGAGTGGTAATACTTATTGACATAGTATAGCACGCCTCGCAGAGTGGTGATTTTTGAACGACTAATTGAATATGAAGATTTTTTGTGCTATTATTAGTTTTTGTTGTTTAAGAGCTGTAATTTTCTGTGTGGATTTTTTATAGATCAATATACTTTTGTTGCAATAAATAAATATTGGTGTTTTTTTATTTTGGGTAAAATGTTGGTGGTTTGTCCTATACATATAGAGAGAGAGGAGTATGAATTGATTTCAAGCTAACATTAAATTAGAATGAATTGATTGTTTTTTACTTGAAATGATTTCAATCAATAGTAAATTAGATCGCATCTGACTTAAACGTATCTTATAACAACGTAACAAATTACACAGTAACGTACTACCTCCGTTCCCATTTTAACTTCCAAATGAGTTTGACACAAAGTTTAAGATAGTGGATATTGTGTGGTGGAGAGTTGTGCAGAGGAGAAAGAAATGTGTAAGAAATGTTGTGAACCCCAAATTCTTTATCAAAAAGGGAAAGTGGAAGTTTTAATTGGAACGGACGAAAAAGGAAAGTTGGAAGTTTATTTAGGAACGAAGGGAGTAACAGTTTTACGAGTTTTATTTAAAAAAGACTAGTTTAGATGGATCAACCTATTTATGTAGATTGGAGTGATTAGACTAAAAGGAAAGGAGAGTAGTCCATTATTTTATTGATTTGATTTATTAGTGTGTATATATACCTGAATATCAAATTCTGATGAGTTGAGCTTCAAAAGATACAAGAGGGCCGATAAATCATCGGTTTCAGTGTCCGTATCCAACAGAATCCGGTGAGGCGGCGGACTCTGCGCTCCGGCCTGGAAGGGACCAAGCAACGCCGTCCCGGCGACGACTGCTACAACCACCAACACAAATCCGGCCTCCACCGCCGATTTGGATGCCTTCCCATTTCTCATCATCACGTATATTCACAAAAACACCAACAAACTAGCTAATGTTCTCCGTACCTCAATTCTCCCATAAATTCAGAGTAGAGAATGAATGTTTTAGCTTACTGGAATGAATTCATATTAATTTATAGAACCATTGGAGGGTATAATAATAGTAGTAGCTTTTCACTTCCCAAAAAAATAGTAGCTGCTCACCATAAGTAAAATATATACTAGTTCCTCCATTTTCACTCCACTTTAATTGTCAACCCTTCTCTCTCTGTACTTTATTTTCATTTTCTTTTGTAAGATGAAAATGTGGCATTTTGGCAATATTTGTTTTGCAGTGTATATAGTTATATTTTACTATTTTAAACTGCTCCTACACAAAGCATTGCGGCCAATAGTTTGAGTATGAACTATGAATTCTCGTGTCCAGCACTCCCCCATCCGAACATCGCTCTTTCGGGCACTTTCCGGTGGATTTTTTTGATGATTTTTTTGGGAATGTTGCTCATCAAGTCTAGTTTATCCACAGTTCAAAATTCGATCGGGAAGTCAGTCAAATCATTTTTTTGAAGTTGACTGCGTTTCTATATGTATATATCTATATTGATAGATATATAGGTAAACTCGTCGACTAAACCCGTATAAAGCAAGTTTATAATATATATATATGGCATATATATCAAATCTGTAATTCTATTAATCACATTTAAATGACCATTTATCTAAGCTACATATTGTCTAAAAACAACCCATCATTTTCGTTTTCTATATAGCAGAGTTTCGACCCCCTGAATCGTTTTTCTAGAGTCGTCCTAGGTGGCCTAGAAATTATGATCTAGATTATAGATGAATGCACAACTCTCATCATTTAAGATTATATAGCATTATTCTCATTGCGGTTTATTGCACCAAACCCCTTGTGATATAGAAAATATGCGCATTAGTTCATGTGATTCAAAAAATGTGTCAAACTTTCATTGAACAAATGCGCATAATCCCTTCTATTAACAAATTTAATTATCAAATAAAAGAGAAATATTAAACATGTGTGGATAATTTAGAGATTTTGACAAATTCACTTGCATATTTCATCATAATATTAAGAGAAGTGATTTCCAAAATGTTAAAATTATTCATAGAAAAGGTTTTGCACATTAGTAATTATAACATATGAGAGTTTAACATATTTTTAAATCGGGAACTAATGCGCTAAATTTCTATATCACAATATATTTTTGTCTCCCTTTATACGTACTATCTATATGGAATAGGGGTGTACGAGAGAGCAAAACCTAGCGACTGTCTCCCCTCTTTGTAGAGGTTGAGATTTTTCGCCGCCCCTATCAATATAGGGCAGGAGCGACAAATTATTCTGATCTTAAGTGTTCTAACGTTTGAGATTGCAACTATGTCGGAGGAGATAACGTTGACGGATGAACGAATTAGTTGTGGCTTGGAGTTTGTATCGGTGCTAGATCGTGCAGTCTTGGTCGGTTGCTCTGATGGTGGTGGAATTAGTATTCACTCATATTGCAAGAGCTCGTCATATATCCTCTGGAACCACTAGAGGCGTCTTTAGAACTCTGGAGGCCCCAAACGAAAACACACTTAATATTGACATATCATATTAATGAGATTTCTATAACACAAAAGGCAAAACAAGAGATAAATGTAACTTACACAAATTAATGTGAAAAAAATGCATATTCAAAGAGCAGTGAACATCAAAAAATAAAAATTTAACCGTAAGCATACACAAAATGGACAAAAACTTACACTTCCTCTACACCAGGTAAAAATTATCATTTCTCTTTTGGATGTTCCATTTAAAAAGTTCTCATTATCATTTTAGAATATAGTTAACTCTTTTATGTCCATTTAACCATCACACATTAAAATTAATACTCTCATAACATCGTACTCATAATCTGTTACTCCATTATATTATATACTTTCCGAAACTATTTCTAAATTATAATCAAATTAACTTATTTAATTATTAGTTTAAAAAAGTGCCTTCTAAATTGAAACCTTAAATTGAGACGGAGTAGTACTTTTAAATTCCTACAGTTCTTCATTTTTGTTTGCCCCAGTAACATACTTACAGAAAAATAAAAAATAAAGCAGTCAACAAAAAAACTAAAGTCAAAAAACTGCAATACTTAGTGAAAATTAAAAAACAAACTAAATAACTATGTCCATAAAACTAATTAAACATTACTTCAATAATTCATTAATATGGTGGCCACTCGTGAAGAGCTTGCCAATTAATTAAAATTTAAAATCATTTTATCTATATTTGGACTACCAATATACCAAAGACGAGATATCTTTGCTTCCAAACTATTGAAATAAAAATAGATATTTTATACTATTAATATTTTTTTTGAGGCCCCACTAGAATATGTGACCCTAGGCAAATGCTTTGCCTAACTCACTCTTAAAGTCGCCCTTGGGAATTGAACCACCTCCATACCACGAAGAGTTTTGTGGAAAGATTTTATTTCGTTATTAATCTCTCTTTAGTAGAATTTGTTTTTGTTTTGGTCCGAGTAGATTTAATTTTGATGTTTGGATTTTTAGAGTTCTTTTGATAGACAAAGTTTCGGATCCAGTCGTTTTAGGCTTAAATTTGCCCGTTTAGGTTTAGTGAGTGAGGTTGCTCTGTATGAGGTGACTGACTCTTAGGGGCGGACCGTAGTACATCCCCAGGGGGCAACCCCCCCCCCCCCCCCCCCCCCGACAAGATTTTTTTTAGTGTATATATATATATATATGAAAAATAATTCTCCCTTCCAAAAAATATTTTGAACCCTCCAAAAAATATTTTCACCTCCTAAGATGACTTTTCTGGGTCCGCCCCTGCTGACTCTATGTCTACTCCTAGAATTCACGATTAAATTTGTAAAAGTTGTCTCAAGATTATCTTGTATGTGTTCTCGGTTTTAATATAAAAGCCGTTTTTTATGATAAAAAAAATATTTGTGTCCCCTTATCATTGTTTGCATCCAACGGGCATCCATCTGGTCTTTTGCGCGACGAAGCACCGTTGATTTTCTCCTGAATACAGTTTTTTTGTTTGTTTTGTTTTTTAACAGAAATTTTTTAATCATTATCCTAGATTTGCCATGGTGGGGTAAGATATGCTCTCGCAACTCGCAAGTCAAGATGAGCCATTCTTGCTTCCCTGTAGTTATAGAGTCTTAATTTCTTCTCGTCCAGTTCCTTGATGTTAGTGTTAACGAATAACAACTTCCTCCATATACACATAACACATCAGATTTTGTATATAACTCGACAGGGCCGGTTTTGGCGGTCTCAAGCCTAGTTAGCTTTTTTGCGTTTAAAACGCGTTTTAAACACGTACCGTTTTTTTTAACAAAAAAATGCATTTAAAACGAAAAATAATGTCGGTCCGCTTAAAAAGGAAAAAAACTTCCACTTCCCGTATAAAACGTATATTTTCCGTATTTTACGAAAAATAAAATCATCATTTGATCACCTAAATGAATACATCAAATGAATAGGAGATCAACAATAGTTTAGAAGCAAAAAAGAAAACTTCATCTCCGTGACCCCGTGTTTTTGTATTGTTACAATACAAAATATACAATTGTTAAATACTAAAATTAATTGCATGATGACTAAAGCTAGCATCCTAAAAGACTAAAATCTAAAATATTACTACGTATTAGATTTGCGATGTTCTTTTCCAAACAAGCATATCAAAATTAAGGTTTTTCTAAACCTGACGTTTTTTAGTATAAACTTTTACACAAAAAATAATAAGTGTAGCAGTCGCACAACTTTCTCATATCATCTGTCATCTAGGTGAAAATGATGAGTTTAACTTGAGTGTTATGTGATGATCATATAAAGATGATGATGATGTTAACTTGGCCTCATTCTATCGTTATTAAGCCTTATTTTCTGACATTACTTTGCAAAATTATGTCTTGGACTTAATTACTCTGTACTATTTTTACTTTTGTCATCGACTTATGCAATTATGAATTATTCTTTTATGTAGTAATGTGATTTGCTACTTCAACATGTGTACACTCTTATTTCTTTTTATTATATGTTATTTTATAAATTATATAATTTAAATGTTATTTTGGACTTAATCATTATTTCTTTTTAGTCATGAACTTATGCTATTATGAATGCATTTTTTATGGAGTAATGAGATATTATACTTGAATGTGTGTGTATGTTGATTATCCTTTATGTTCTATATGTTTTTTATTCTCTAAAAACTACTACAATAATTTAATCATTCAAAATAAGACCCGTTTTTTAACCCGAATTTTTCTAAGAGATGCCGTATTATACACGTATACGTATTTACACGTTTTATAAAAGTCAACGTATTTTTTGCTGATTTTTGACCGTATTTTTGTTCAAGTTACCGAATAAAACACGTACGTATTAAACCATGTTTAATTCCCGTACCGTATTTAACTAACTATGGTCTCAAGGCCTAACTAGGGGCAAGCTATGTTGCATGGGTACGGATACGCTAATGCCAATACGCGAATACGGGTACAGTGATACGATAACTTCAAAAATTATATGATACGAGTACACAGGAGTATATTTATAAATAATAATAATATAGGGTATAATTGACAAATATATATAATTTAGAGGTTCATAAATAAAATAATAATAATAGTACAAAAAATAACAATTATAATAAAATCTCAAAGATTATACTTAAAAAAATAAAGTACTAGTATTTCGATTTAAGTTCAAATAATATTTTTTGTTCTCTATTTGCATTTATATTTAAGTCTTTTAACAAGACTGATTTCAATTAAAGCTCATCAAACGACAAATTGACAAATAAATAGTATTCCAATATTTTTCATACTCCCGAAATCATCTTTACAAATATTCCACATCTTGTGGTCGTTTGGGCGGCTACTAAATTTTCGTCATGTTGTGTATGAAGTCAGCGTTAAAGAGTTGGATACGCGTATCGATTCACGGGCACGGGTATAAGAAGCATTTATATTTTTAAAAATAAGTCCGATACTTTTATTTAATTATGGATACAGAACCAACACCTACATGACGCATATCGGTGAGTATC